TTTCCTCGAAGGAGTTCTGAGATCGATGAGACGTCGAAGACAGGTGACAGGAGATGCATCGATTCCGTCCTTGCTTCTATAGTTCATTCCCTAGGAATGAGAGGAACGAAACTCCCCTTACGCCTATCTCATTCACTCTATTCCCATTGAATCCCAAATCGGTCTCAGTGAAGGCCCGTTTGATCGTCGCGTGATAAAACCAGGTAGATGCGTAACTAATGTTACGAATGCATACCACTGCAGGGAAATTGAACTTATTCGGTAGCAATACGGCAGATGGGAATAGAGAATAATTTTTTAAAGCTAAAAATGAACGATTGATGAGAGCTTGAAACATCGCAATGATGATAGTTTTATCATGTTTTAATTTCATGCTTGTGGAAAAAAATTGTCTTCTCGACAAAGGAAAATTTCTTGTTTCAGACAAATTAAAGATTTGCAAGCGAAAGAAGGCTGTTGAAATCACAATCCATAAAGGTTTTAAATCCATAGGAAGTGTTTTCACAAGGAGAATTCTATCACATACTTGACACGTTGGCGTTGTAGGGCTAGACTGATCAATGAACTGCCCTAGACTGGAGAGAAGCACAGGCCTGTGAAAAAATAACAAGGGTCCGGATCGAAGTTGCGCTCAATCTAATGCTCCACAATAGCCTCACGGAATCTGCCGTCATGGTCATGAATTCCACACATAAAACTTCGATGAACCTTTACGCTTTTAAACACCAAGTCACGTTCACAGAGACTGAAGCTCTGAATGATGCAGTCTCGACGGCGTGCGATGGTCTCCAGGCCCAACTGCAACCAGGCCTTTCCAGGAAAACTTGCTCTCTTCTTTCAAAGGTTTGCTGAAGCAAAGGAGAGGAGACAATAGCTGTATTACCATCCACAATTGACTGAGGAAGCGGAGGAGGAGCCACCCAACGGCCTAGACGTCACCCAGTGCACATGTGGAAGCGAGCAGCACATGGAGTGAGTGTGTATGTGTGTGTGTGTGTGTGTGTGTTTGGGTGGGGGGGGGGGGGGGGGGGGGGGGGGGGGGGGACGACCTCGTCTCCCCCCCGTGAAACTACGAACCCCGTTCCCGTTCCCGGTGTTGTTTCCGTTCCCGCTAGGAGGGGGGTGGGTGGACGCTTCTCTTGCTCAACATCCCTCAACCTATGAAGCTAGAAGACCCAAGAACTGCAGGACGAGATCTCATGGAGGGATGGATTCTCCTGCAGCACACATCTCACTAGAGGAACCAGCCAAACGACGAAACAGGGATAATAGAAAATCCTAAGAAGCAACAAGAGACCATTGCGGAGGAAGGTCCGTAACTCCACGCCTCTGCTCACGTCATAAATCGTCAACAGCCTCAAGGCATCAACCAGGGCATACAAAGGCGCAAAAGATGTATTCTCTGTTGCCCTCGTCACCATTCTCGAGCCCATGTGAGCACATTCATCACTGACGTGTCAGCTACAGCTTCATGGGCGCAACTAGGACTGGTGTAGTTGATATAGGATTCTCGCTCATGCTTGGGCACATCCCAGATCTGCTACAAAAGTTCATTTCTGTACATCTCAATAAATTTTTCCTCATTGCGCTATTCTTAGGAGAAGAAAGTTTTTTTTTAATTTCAAAGCACTGCCTTAAAAAAAAATAATAAGCAAGGAGAAGGCTGGAAAAGTTAGCTGTCCTGAAAGTGCCTCCCATCTGGCCAAGACGGCTCTCAATGACAGCACTTTTCCTCCTTGGAAAAAAAAAAAAAAAAAAAAAAAAAGAGGGCGAGGACTCATCTGTCTCCATCTCTAGACTTTCTCTCCGAGGCTAGGAACCATTCGACGNCCACCTTAAAAAAAAAAAAAAAAAAAAAAAAAGGGTGCGAGGACTCATCTGTCTCCATCTCTAGACTTTCTCTCCGAGGCTAGGAACCATTCGACGGCCTGCAGAGAGGCGAATGACGAAGGGACGGGGACCGAGAATTTGGCAGGCCGTTCCTCGGAGTCGAGGCTATTGGCGAATTCAAATTATTTAAACACGATTGCATGGTACGAGTCTCGTGGATGAGTAAAAGGGGAAACTGGGTTCGTGTTTGATTTCTAAAAGATCGGGCTTTGATGTCAAAATGATAATATTTATATTTACTCCTTAATATAGTTTATGAAAGGCTAAAATTAAAAATAACACTTGATGCTATTATTGGTTTTATTCAACTCTCAAAGGCTTTTATATCAGAATATATACTCAGAATAAAAACTATTATATTCACCAAAGTCGCACTGCACAACTATCGCCGGAAATTTTTAATATGGCAATCAGTCTCGACGAATCTAAAATATAGCTACTATATTGTAATTTTTCCTCAGTCGGCATAGCGGTTCGTGTCTTCCGCGATGAGACTGTGGTGTTTCATATGAAAAAAATTGCAGGAAAAAATTTTCGTGCTCCGTTCCTGCCTTTTTCGCTCCAGCCCTCAACCGCACGAAAGCTTCTTAGCCTGACATAGAATTGGCGTAGGTTAACTTTTTTTGCAAAAATTCCCCCCCCCCCCCCCCCCGATTTTCATTCTCTTAGATCGGTGACGTTGCAAGGCTTAACCGCTCGAGGAAAAAAATCATTCGAATCCCTGTTCTCTTGATGCGTGTTCCCAAATCCCGGAACAGACGAAAGAAATAGCGTGGGTGCGATACCGGTCCAAAGCCACATTCATTGATTTGCATCCATGGCAACGCGTGCGGTGCGGGATGGTGCTTCGTCGTCAAGAGACAGGGCGCCATCATGCAGTTTCCCTCCGCGCTCGACCTTCATTGCATTGCGCAATTGGGGGGGAAGGGGGGGCAGATCGGCATGATAAGTAGCGGTGATGATCCGGGTGTTAGCAAAGCACACAGGCGACGCTGGTGCCATGATAATGACTAATGATGGAACCGACCAGAAATTTAGTCGTGGTGGGGGTCGACATGCTTCCATTCCATCAATTCCTCTATTATTTCTGGATCGAATTGATGAGCTCACGTCCACGGTGACAAGCCGAGTATGGAAATCGTCGAGAGAGGCGAGAAGTTTCTGTAGCGATTTTTGCGATACCTGGACCCGGACACTCGTTTGGCCCGCGTCGAATCGTGCCAGACTGAAATGTTTCCGAGAGCGAGAGTATCGGACAGAATGTTATGAATTCGTTGAAACGACAAGACGTTCGGCAGAGATGACGGACGGTAAATCTGCGATCCTCGGATATCACAAATGACACGCAAATTTACCTCGCTCTTTCATGTCCCCACAAGGGGACATGAAACGCGTGCGATGCCCTGCCCGCCCCTGTCCGCTTCGTAATTCGTAACATGGGGAATTCGCTTTCCACTTGGGGAATCCGCGCGGAGTGGTGTGTCGTCGTCGATGGCTTTTGGGGTCAATAACGTCTGATGCGGGTGTTTCGGTCGTTCGGTTTTCTCCGTTTTGAGCACAAAGGAGCATGAAGACACAATGTGCTCGCTTTATATAATAAGAAAAGCTACACGATCCAAATTCGATGTCCACGAGTCAAATATGGCGAACCGCTCCCTCACGTGTCACAGACCTCACTGTGCCCTTTCGCCAGAGGGTTGCAACTTTTCGCACGCCCTCGTCAACCTTCGATCGACTTCGGTGTCATTATACGGCCTCGAATGAGATTCAAACCTTCGATGAAAACCATGGGTCCCATTCTTCACCGCGCCTTTTCTCCCATAAATGCTTCTCGGCTTCCTAAGCAGTAAGGCAGGGTCAAAACATCCTCGGAATCCACTGACCCTGCGACGCAATCCGACAGCCTCATCGGCGGAGTGCCCCAACAGAACAATCCACACTTAATCCCTCCCCTCCCCCCCTCCTCATGACGGCAACTTGCAATCTTCGAGTCCACTGGTCTATTGCACTATGGTGCTGTCATGGCACGTCCAGAAATATAAAACTTAAAAGTGGTACGAATATTTATGGGACACCCCGTAAGTTCTCATATATATTTCTGAAATTGAGATGAGAAAATCTCTCCCCAACGACGATCTTGAAAGTCTTGAGGGCTTCTATTCCTGCCCACTTCATTTCGTAGACACCTTGCAACGCCACTTTCGACCGAAACCTTTGACAGAGAGCAAATTTATACGAGCCGTAACTTCCAATTAGATTAACCAAGCTGCAAGGAGCCTCATTCCCAGCGCACCGACCCCTTAGTAACCTCGAGTCGCCTTTTTCCTCTCCCAAAAGACGCAATTGAATCCCAGCGTTCATGGGAAGAAGTCGTCTTCGTATGAAGGCACGAGGCTCTGATGGTAGGAGCTTTGGATTCCATCGAGGATGTTGGAAGGTGCGTGCTTGCTTGTCGTGCGTGCTTGCAGGTTGGAAGGTGAGCGTTAGGAGCCGAAGGGATTAAAAGGGAAAGTTCGGTCACTTATGATTCCTCAACCAAAACCGGACTCTGGTTCCCATTGCAGAGCGAAATCTAGTTCACTTGTAGCAGTTTTTCTATTTAAAACCACGTTTTGATACATATCAGCAAATTTTGACAAATTACAAATTACACCAACTCCAGATACAAATACCATAGCTCCATCATGTCCACTGCTACTGCTCACTGTCGTGTTCATACTACTTATACCTGATTCCATTTTTTCTCTGTAGTGAAAAAGGTATACTTTCAATACAGCCAGAACATTAGACATGAAGTTGAGGTTTTATGAGTAGCATCCATGATAGTGCACTTACCAAATAGCAATTTTAGTGTTTGAAACTACACTCAAGCCAGTGTGCTGCTGATCCATTTAAAAAGTAGTTGAGTCACCTTTGTCACCTTTGAGTCAATTTCTGACAATGATCACATGTTACCACATATGAATTCCACAGTCTAACCCTGTTCAATACTTGGGAGGAGGGCATTCTTTAGTCATTTCCATAGTTCGATTCTGCCATTAGCCGAGTTAAATATCACACAGAACAAGAGGCACGTGGTTATTCCAGATTGGTGCAATCAATTCCATAACTGTACCTTGAAGCACAAAGTTTATTCAGTACCATAAGGGCATGGAGGGAAGTCAAATAGTATGGCAAATACTCAGATCACAGTCAGAAGGGAATCAGTCTCATCTTCAAGGATGGAGAGTTTTTCTCGAAAGGCACGATAGGGTGTCTCTCCTGTGAGCACTTCCTTGCCTTCACTTAATATGAAATCCACTTCCTTCCTCATATTGCTCAGGAGTTCTATGAGTTTCTCCTCTTCTTTCACTTTCTCTTCTTTGCATTGAGACATGAGAACATCATCAGGAAGGTGAGCCTTCATCGCATGCAAGAATGCAAGGCAGGAGGATGCATCCCTGAGGAAGAGAGCAAGACAGAATCCATATCACTCTCAATCACTCTCAAGAATCCATATTTGCTCTGTGATCTACTTTTATGAAATTTCACTAAATTCAAGCTTGTTTACATGACAATTTTTGCCTCATTGCACATATCACAGTCTGATCCATCATACTTCTAGTTGCACATTTTTTTTTACCTGGAAACAACATCAACCATGATGCCTCTCTCTCTCCTTCCAATGTGAACAAGAAGGAAGTGGAAGATAGATGGAGATGCTTCAGAAGCATGGAATACATGTGGAAGCCATGAAGATTCCCGGAACCTCAGATCACGAGTAAGGGCAAGAGAAAAAGTTTCAAATGGATCAGAGAAGCAGATCGACCTCAAGGATAACTGCACCTCCTCTTCAGATGCTGATAGGAGACTCATGATATCTTGCTCTGTTAGACCCCCTGTAAAGAATGAATCATGCTTCATACTTAAAAAATAAAGAATCATAACCTACTCGAGGCCCACTTTGTTCTAAACACTCAAGAAGCTCAGTGACACTGCCTGTCATGGTGTACAACTGTAAGTAATGCTTCACCAGACCCTAAATATTTGACACCTACTACTGAAAGTTGTTGAAGGATTCTCTTGAATGAAGTCCTGCATGAAGACATGAAATGGTGGATTGATAGTAACAGACTTAGTTGGAGAGGTCTCATCCCCTTCACTGTATTCCACTCTTCCAAATATGATCACTTCTGACTTCCTTCCAAATGGGATGCAGATTAAGGATGCTGAAAAGTAAAATCCCAGATCAATGGCACCTCATTCTGGCTTTTTTCTGAATTGTGAAAGAATTGCTGAGAACCCACCAACAACAGTTGCTTCTTCCCCTGAACTTAGACTTGTAATGCAGGTGTCCCATGGAAGATGCTCAGTATCAGGGGCAGTCAAAGAGTTCTTCAAAACCACAGCTCTTGTCTTATAGGCAAGTTCCTGGTCTCTCACCATCAATATTAACCTTGGTCTCCATATCTGCCTACAAATCATGTGATGTGTACTTATTGACAAACTTTAACAACAACAACAAACTTTAATATTTAAACCAGGATAAAGGGGTAGGCCTAAGCTATGGGAAAGAAATCATAATTTAATATTAGAGTAAGAAAAGTGGTTCATCCTTTTATTGCATGATAAAATGTCAAAAGTTGAACACAGCTTAAGTTTGAGTTGCATCAATGTTGATTAGGTCACCTGACATTAAAGTACCTGTATGTACATTTAAGATAGCTTTCAGATCTTGAGTTTGCCATTTTACTCTTTATGTGGCAAAGAAACTGAGGTCAATCCATAATTAAGACTTGCATGAATAAAAATGAGGAATTTTTAATTTTGGAAAGTGTAAGTTTTACTTCCATTTACTATATTTTAATATTCTTTCCTTTCTCCTCTATTATTCATGCTTTTTAAAGTTTTATTTTCAAAGTCACTAATAAATTTACATCCAAGATAATCCAGATCATTTTACACCAAGAAAATATGCAAGGTAATAAGGTAATAGAAACCAAAATTAATTTGCCAAACTGAATTCATACAATTCCATGAGTGCAGCAGAGGGATCCTAAAGAGGTTTGGGTGGCTGGAATGGATGGACAGCAGAGTATCTTCAGAACTGAATTGCAATGAAAATGAAATTTTAATCGTTCTACAGCTTGATATGTAACCTTGGCAAGTTGACACAATAAACAACTGTGTTCCAACTCCTCACAAAAAATATAATGAAAGGGTATATAAAGAACACAATTATCATTACCTCCTGGATGAGTTGCAAATTGAAGCAGCCAAAGTGAGAATCCCATGAAATACATGTTTCCAAATAGATACAATTACAACTCTGTCTTCTTGGATATCTTCCAGAGGCTGAGTAGGTAGATCCTGCAACTTTATCACACTCCCAGAATACAACTCTTCTCCTGCCTGGGAGAAATCATAGATATGATTACATGAAATGACTTTAAGAGCCATGTGACTAACATTCAGACATACCTGTACCTGTTCCAAATGCCAGAAGCTTCATGGAGAATTAACACTTTGTCAATATTAACAATTTTAAATGCTTCAGCACATATCATTCTATTGTTAGGCTTATCGTACCATGCATGAAATTTGAACTTAAATATTTGATCAGGTAGCAAGAGTGAGATTGCAAGCTAAGAAGCATAAGTACACCTGGACTCACATGTTCATGTACAGGTTCCCCACTTCCATCTGCTATCTTCAGAGCCAACTTCCTGCTGAAACTCATCTTTCTTTCTAGATCCACTTTGACATCCAACAAGTGAGACTTCACAGCCTATGAATTACAAATAAAATGCTCATCACATCCAGTTGAATGACCATTCTTATCCATCCTTGACCGTTCTTCTGCTAGGTGACATACATTGATCTGACGATGAAGAGCAGCAGCCACATTACTCTCTGCTTCACTACGTTTTGACTGGCTAGGCTCATCAGTATCCATATCCTCAAAGAAATCCAGGTCTGGAGAGCCAAATGGCTCCTCTGACAATAAGATCCTCCTGACGGTAACCAAGTTGTTGTTCCTGAACTGAAGTTTCAAAACCCTTTCTGTGGGAGATCCTGAACCACAAGGCTGGAGATCAACTGAAGTGACTTCTTCCCATTCCCTCACCTTTTTAATCTAAGATCCAAGAGACTTAAGATTATTCAGCTAGCCTATTTAGCCTGTTAGCCTAGCTAATATCTGTTGGCTTTACTTAAAACTTAGAAGAAATTTCATATCCAATTATGTAAAGCATAATTTTTTCTCCAAGCAAAAGGAAGATGAGCCCATTGACAAAATAGTTAAGACATATACCACCAGAATCCCATCCTTACTTCGTCTCCTTCCCATTGGTACGCATAGAGCCTATTTTCACGGCTCAGCAAAAGGATATGTTCCTCAAAAGGATGAAAGACAGGAAAGTAGACTATCTTCACTGGAATCATTGGCAGGGAATGAATCGTGAGAGTCCCATCGTCTTGGATCTCGTACAATATACCAACTGAAGTTGCAAGCAACGTGATGGATCTACATGCTCCTGCAACAGATGGAACAATCCAAGATTAGTTGCCTTGACTGACTTCTGACATATTCTCTGGCTCTTTATTACTACAATAAGCTCAACAAATCGATTCACCTAATCGGAAGCAAGTAGCAGTGGAAACAGCAACCGATTCTAGGGCTGAATATCGTTCACGTGCGTAGGACGGCAAATATTTCGCGTCATCGCGTTCATTGCTCTTTTCCCCGAACCATGGGATATCCATGTTAGTCTACGCCAGTTTTGGCATAGAAACCCAATGAAATTCAGAGCTGGAGACGGTCAATCTCTAAGCCGAAAGGAGCATTACAGATGAGCGGGAAGAACTGTCTGAACTGGCGAATGTAATCCACGTGCTACTAAGGAAGCGACCATGCGCACTGGACTTGGACTCCGAGCAGGCGCAGATCGCTTCTAATCGGAGTGGCCGTTCTCCCACGGATTTCCCCGGAGAAGTGGCACTGTTTCCGTGGCCATGGATCCATCGCATCTGCAACTTGAGTTATTGTCGCCCTCCCATCGATTTAGAGTGGGTGCCAAGGAAGATGAGGCCTTGATGGACTCACATTGTTCTCCCATGAATGATATATGGTTTTCCCCACACTCGAGTCCATCGAGGAGAATGGAAGGGGGAATGACACGAAATAAAGATAACATTTTTCAAGGCTGCCTTCACGTGACATGCTCAGTCCCGGCGCGCGCAATGAATCGAACGGATCCTCCACTGTATTGGTGTGGTTTTAGCAGTGCATCTCCGGTAGTCGAAATCTGTTAATAAGTTAGATACCACTCGACTCCTGATCCACTACCATTAAGTAGGTTGCCTAGGGCCGCGGGTGAGCCTTGACAAGTACCCATAAATATAAAATAACATATAATAAACAAAAACAATATTATATGGCTTTTAAGTCTGTAGTGGACCTCGGATCACCTTGCAACTGTTAAGATGGGCTGGGGGGTTGGAAAAAGTCGGGATAGGAACAGGGCCGTATCTAGGATTTCATTTCGGGGAGGTTGAGGTCTGGCGTACGCGCTGTGGCTATTTTTTTAATACTTGTCATTGTAAATCTTTGTGACATATCTGGATTTTCCTGTAAGTTGCAATGTTTAATAAGTCACAAGCTATTAAATATAGAAAGGACCAAGTACTGCACCGTTGACACCGATGAATATGACAAACATTTAAGGAAGATATTTCGGGGGGGGTTTGAACTCCATGAACTAAATACGGCCTTGGGTAGGGGACGCAGAAAGATACCGTATTATTATAAGCAAACGACCCGAGAGCAAGGCTAGAAAGGGACAAAGGTGAAAGGCAAAGGTCACGCCAGTCACGTGTGGCTACTCGTCGTAGTGAAGTGAAAATGCGAAGGAAGCGTCCTGCGCATGTGACGCTGCTGAATTTTTCTGAAAATGGAGAGGACGACGACTCGACTGAAAGGCGTGAATCGCGTAGAGGTTGAGCTAGAGCAGTGGTCCCCAGAGTTTTTGAAGATTGGGCCGCACGGATACTTTGGTCCACCTTGAGTGGGCCGCACAAATACGTTGGTCGGCTTGGAGTGGGCGGCATTGAAAAATATCCAATTCTGCATGGTTAACCCTTTAACTGGCCGCTCGACTTCCATGTCAAAATACTTTAAGCCAGGAAATCTTATTTTAAGAATGAGTGGCCATTGAAAACTGCCCATACCTGTCGCATCTACACACTCTTGTACTCAGTGAAACTGCCACTTTTTGGAGTCGGGTTCTTAGTGAGGCTTCGTTTACAGATTGTATCTTCGAAGAGCACACCTTCTTTTCTCTGATCTTTCACTATTTACTTGCAAGGTAAGACATTTATCTTTGCAGTATATACATTCTCCAAAATGTTTGGCAAGTTCAGCAGGTGCTCATTTAAATGCATAAACATCTAAATGTAAGCATACAATGAGAATCTGAATATCTTAATGACTGAACTATTTATGGGCGAAATAATCCAATTCTACAAAAAATAATATTTATCGCCATTATTCATGAGTGTCGGTTGAAGGATTAAATATTAGAAAGTCAATTCCTAGTACATCGAAGTGGGCCACATAAAAACATGAATTGGGCCTCAGTTTGAATACTGCTGACCTAGAGGGTGGAGTGATACAGGTGAGACTATGTGTTCTCTTCAGTTCTGTTAACGGCACTGGGTTATTGACCGCCTGTATTGGTTTCAGAACGAGATCAAATCTCTTCAGCTTCTTTTTTATGATCTATATATCACTCCATCACTTCAGATTATTCTTAATTTGCTCTACATTTCTCTAATCACATAGACTTCTATATGCCCATACTAATCCTGGACACTAAGGGTGGATTTTTGAACAGAGAATTATCCGATAATGCAGCTTTATTCCAGGGAAAATGCAAGATATTTCCTGGAAATAAATCAGCATTATCGGATAGTTCTCTGTTCAAAGAACCACCCTTAATTTGTTTCAGAATCAAATGCTGCAATCAGAACATCATAAATTCCAAATTTCTCCAACAAATATGTTCATTAATTGCATAATAAAAGAGGAAGAAGGGAAGAGAACGTTTTAATGCAGGATGACAGATCCGTAATTGCATTAGGAGGCTACAGGTGAACATGGATACCATCTATTGAGGGCTCTTGGTACTTCATGATGATCGCGCCTATGCTACACTACCCTAGTAACGCAGAACATTGAAACAACATTGATTCAATGTTCACCTTCAATTCTCAACATTTGCACACTCAATCCACATTCAACATTTTTTAAATATTCTAATTATCTCATAAATGTTTTTAAGGGGGGGCCATAGTCACACAACGCAGGATCAATGTCCCAGAGAGCTGGATTAACATACATAGGTTAAGCAGAGGAATCTCAAGTTGCAATTTCTGGAGACTGGCAGCATTAGGGAAGAAATGGCAACCGATTTTCATGATGCCCTTATAAGTGAATGAGGATGGACCATTGCGAGGAGAACAGGAGATGGAGCGCGCATGGCCTGGAGGGTCTCGGTCATGCTCCTCCCCTTCCACACACAGGTGTCTCCCTTGGTGCATTCCTTCTCCTCACCCGATTAGCCTCCCTCCCGAGTGAGGGCAAGGGGCATATACCTCGTGAACATACCTTTCATAGAGAGGTGGAAAGACATACAGGAAATGCGTTCATACCGGCAGCATTCCCAAATCCTTGTCCCCCCGATAACAATGGAATGTATTTTTAAAAAAGATCTCATGATCGTATTATTATGGTATAGAGAGATTGGCTTTTAATGAAAGAAGGGCCTTTCATGCTGGGTTCTTGTGTACATGAGATTGACCATATATTTTTCAGGAAAAAAAAAAACCGGGGCATCATCTAGAAAATGCCCAATTCCTAGCAATGCGAAAAACCGGGAACCCCAGAATGAAAAGAAAAATTAGATCCTTACAAGATTTATTGATTGCTATATGGCCTTGAGTCGCCCCCCCC